TCCTTATGAGATCACATACAAATAAGGTAAGAAAAATGTTGTGGGTGATGCAATGTCTCGAAGGTACGCAGTTGTTTCTACTTTAAATGCAAGGTTATTGGGATTTGAATATATTAAGGATTTGTATGCTACTGATGCTGAATTTGCTAGTGTGTATGGGGCGTGTGAAAGGGCAGCATTTGGAAAGTTCTATAGGATGGATGGGTATTTGTCTAGAGAGAATAAACTTTCTGTGCCTATTAGTTCTGTGAGAGAGTTACTTGTGCGTGAGGCATATGGCAGAAGTTTAATGGGACATTTTGGTGTAAGAAAGACTTTAGAATTGTTGCATGAGCATTTTTTTTGGCCTAAGATGAAACGTGACGTGGAGAGATTGTGTTCTAGATGTGTCACATATAGGCAGGCTAAGTCTAGAGTTTTACCTCATGGATTGTACACACCTTTACCCGTACCTAGTGCGCCATGGGTGGACATTTCTATGGACTTTGTTTTAGGCTTGCCTAAGTTAAAGAGAGGAAGGGATTCCATTTTTGTGGTTGTAGATAGATTTTTTAAGATGGTACATTTTATATCTTGTCATAAGACGGATGATGTAGCCAACATAGCTGATTTGTTCTTTAAGGAAATAGTACAACTCCATGGTGTGTGTAAAACCCAAAATTTATTTGCGGTCAATTTGTAATTTTTAAAGACTTAAGTGTGAAAATTTTAGAAATCTGGGCCATAATTTGAATTTAAGAGAAATATGGGGGTCAAAAATGAAAATTTTGACAGTCAACATGCCCAACCTGTCATTTAGTGCCACTTGGGCGTGTTCCTCATCCTCACCAATCAGAAAACCCTCATTTTCCCTCTCCTCATTTTCTCTCATTTTCTCTCCTTTTCTCCACACACGGTCGACCCACCTCCGGCGAGATTCGGGCGTCCGTTTTCGACACCTCCCGCCTCGTTGGAAAGATCTCGTCGAGCTGAGTCCAGATTGGTGTCTTCCAGCCGCCAACTCCGCCGGACAACGCCACACTCGCCGGCTAAAGTTTTAAAAAACACCCAAACTTCCGATCGTGATATCTTCGCCGTCCGGTGTCCGATTGAGGTGATTCCGGTCCCAATAGACTCAGAGCGAAGAGACGAAGAAAACCGTACTAGCAGCATGGCTTGATTCTGACCGGAGCGCCGCCGCCTATGGTGGTCGGATTTCTCGTCGCCGCCGCCCTCGTACCTCCCTCCTCCGGCTGCCGTGAACGACACCGCCCAGCTCATTAGCTTCAGAGGGAGCCGACAAGTCGTTCTGGGCCACCAGCCGTGGTCGCCACCGTTGGCTTGCCGGAAAATGAGCCGCCGCCACCGTGAGAAAAATGGGAGGATAGTTCCGGTGATCTAGCCGTTGGATCCTTGTGATCTTGGTGTCAAAATACTCAGAATCTCACGGGTAATGAAAGCCCTCAATCAATTTTGAAGATCCGTGGCTAAAAACAAAGATTCAAGACTCAAAATTTGGCCGGAATTGAGGATCTCGATCCGTGTTGTTAGAGGCCGAATTTGGTAAAATTGACATCGCCATTGGATTCAGAACTATTGATTTAGGGGGGGTAGGACCCAAGTCCGCCGCGGGATTCTTCACCGGGAAGCTCCGCCGCCGTACCGCTGCCGGTGGCCGGATTCCGGTGAAGCTTCATTTCTCAGCTTCTCGACTTCCAATTGACGATCCGTTTTGAGGTAGGGGTCCTATTACTTAACTTTTGTGGAATTTAATTTAATTTATTTTATTTTGTTAAATTTGAGAAGATTGAAATTGTATATTAAACTTATTTATTACTATTATATGACATGACTTGAAATAGAAGCATTAGGGGGCCCGTCCTGTAATGTACAGCGTGGCCAAGAGATTTTGACATAACTTTGGAATCTGACACAAAAGCATGGTTAGGAGAATGTAAACCGGACACGATAGTGAGATATGTGCTAACAGTAGGTGTGGCCGTTCACCATCCCTGGGTGTGAACCCGAAAAGGTAAAAGAGGGGAGAGGTGATGACGCTCTCCGGGGTTGAGAATCCCCAAGGTTACTGTACAGTGGTTGCGTCTTGGTGAGGGCTCGGAATGAGAGTTCACCCTTGCCCGTGGTTCGAGAACTGATCTGGTAGGGACGTCGAGATAGAGCTCCTTGCTATCAGTGCCTCTGAATCACCGCGCCCTTCGGGGGTTTTTCATCACGAGCGTACGGATTGGGTTATCTCACTGATACTGATCATCTGACTCATTATACATAAAACATAAAAACTACTAACCATGCAGGTTTAATTGGAAAACTAAATAAAACTAAAGGTGAGTAATAGTCCTCCTACTGAGCATTTCATGCTCACCCCCTTTCTCTTCCCATCCCCAGGTGGTGTGCAGTGTAATCTTTCAGACGAGGAGTTGACGTTTCACAGTGTGCACGTGTTGGAGACCTATCCCTTCTTTTGGTCTTCTTCTTTTATGTAAGATCCTGACTGGGTTGTTTTCAACATGGATGTGACTGATGATGGTTGTATTATTTTAGTATTTTACTTGGTGCTACATTGTACTGTGGATTTATGGTTTAATTTTCTTTGTCGAGTTGTGATTTTAATCATGAGTTTTTCGTTAAAAGTCCCATGGGCACTTGTCGTTTATATTTCAGGAGTTATATTTTATTTTTATTTTCGTTTATCCCTCGTATTTTATTCTTATTGCGTAACCCCCACCTAGGGGTGTTACAAATTTTGGTATCAGAGCCTAGGTTGGGAAACCTAGGGAATGTAGCACCATTTTATACGGTTTTAACTGGGTTTTATCTTTTTGTGAGTAAATCATCATCAGTACTAATCCTGTTGAATTTTCACAGTCAAATCAAAAAAATATGCCGCCAAGGCGTAATCCCCAACCTGCTGCCCCAGCTTTCGATATGGAACAATTTGCTGTCATGTTCCAAGCCTTTCAAAATGTCCAAAATCCTCCACAGGATCCCAATCCAGCTCAACAACGCCTGACATTGCTTGAAAAGTTCATGAAGCAGAAACCTCCTACTTTTATTGGCGAGCCAGATCCGGTAGCCGCCGAGCAATGGTTAAAGAGCATCAAAAAGAAACTCCAAACTTTAGGAATTCCGCCGGAATACTGTGTTGATTTTGCAACCTACATGTTTGTAGGAAAAGCGGAGCAATGGCTAGAAAGTCAGGGGGGAGACTATGATATACCTAATCTTCCTTGGGATGAGTTTGAGGCACTGTTCAAGAGGACGTTTATTCCTGAGAACCATCGACTGAGGATGATCAGAGAATTTGATGACTTGGTACAGGGTGATATGACAGTAGCGCAATATCATGCCCGGTTTATCGATCTATCTCGTTACAATCCTGGCGCAGTTGCAGACCCTATGGCTAGGGGTGAGAAATTCTGAAAGAACCTGAGGCCTAGACTTAGACAGATGATAACATCTACTGCTTTAAACAACTTTCTCAAGCTGGTTGATGCAGCCGAGCGAGCTGAAGCCGAGCTCAATAGCACTTATGGAGAGTACAAAGGACCAGGAGGAAGCGGAAACTCAAGAAAAATGGGTAAAAAGGATAAGACACACGGTCAAGGTCCGCAAAATAGTGGCACGAGTGGCAGTAGTAGCTCTTCAGGTAGCGGACGTTTCCAGCCTTACGCCTGTTATACCTATGGGCAACCCGGACACCTTAAGCGAAATTGCCCCAAGCCGTCCGATGCAGTCGCCTTTAGCTCCTGGGGGACAACAGAGTAGCCATACTGGTTCAGCTTCAGGTAGTGGGAATCAAGCATCTTTTCAGAACCCGACTGCTTCTTATGCTTCTGTCCCTCAACCGCGTGGTCTTCAGCCACATTATTACCTCCAGCCACGACCACAAGGTTCAAGTTTTCAGCAGAGTCAGAGTTATCAGCCTACTCCTCAAGCTTCTGGGAGTCAGAGACCTTACTTTTCGGGAGGAAATGCTGGTGCAAGTAGCAGTCATGGGAATCGTGGTAGAGGACAAAGGAACAAGGGAAAGTCTCATGGTCAGGCTTATGCTGTCACATCAACGACAACCATTGGTCGAGGACAACAGGCTGATCACTCCGTAGTTGATGGTACGATACTTGTCTCTCATTCTTGGGCTCAGGTGTTATTTGATACTGGTGCCACGCATTCTTTTATTTCCATGTTATTTGCTTCAGTTCTACAATTAGGCGTTGATACGCATGATCCCCCTTTGACTCTTAGTACACCGATGGGAGGTATAGTTGAGGTATCTATGATTTGTAGATCCTGTTGTATAGTCTTAGGCGATCATCGACTATAAGCCGACCTATTTGTGTTGCCAATGACTGGGTTTGACGTCATACTAGGTATGGATTGGTTAAGTAAGTATCGTGCTACAGTGGATTGTTACCGGAGAAGTGTCACACTCCTTACTAAAAACGGGCAAGTCATAGACTATCAGGCTAAGACAGGAGCAGTAACGCCAGCACCTGTTTTAAAAGCTTGCATTAGAGGTCAGAAGAATCTAGAGAGCTTGGGAATGGTTTTTGCATTAGAAGGAGAGTATGAGGCAAATGAATCTTCGTATATACCGGTGGTGGATGATTTTTGAGATGTGTTTCCAAATGAGCTACCAGGGCTTCCACTGGACAGAGAGATTGAGTTTTTCATAGATTTAATCCCCGGTACCTCTCCCATTTCTATTGCTCCATACCGCATGGCACCTGCTGAAAATGTTGAGTTAAGGAAGCAATTGTAAGAATTAATGGAGAAAGGGTTTATTCGTCCTAGTACATCACCGTGGGGAGCTCCTATCCTTTTCGCAAAGAAGCATGATGGGTCATTGAGACTTTGCGTGGATTACCGTCAACTCAACCGAGTCACCATCAAAAATAAGTATCCACTACCCCGCATTGACGAATTGTTTGATCAGTTAGGTGGGTCCCGATATTTCTCTAAGATTGATTTACGGTCAGGATATCATCAGTTGAAGGTAAGAGATGAGGATGTTTCAAAGACAGCTTTTTCGCACTCGCTATGGTCACTACGAGTTTCTTGTCATGCCATTCGGGTTGACCAATGCCCCAGCCGCATTTATGGACCTCATGAACAGAGTTTTTCGTCCGCATTTAGATCGCTTTATCATCGTCTTCATCGATGACATCTTGATTTATTCCAAGACTCAAGAGGAACATGCAGAACATTTGAGAATTGCCTTACAGACTTTAAGGGAACATCGTCTATATGCTAAGAAAGAAAAGTGTGATTTCTGGATGACTGAAGTGAAATTCCTTGGACATGTTGTTTCCCAAGAGGGCATATCAGTTGATCCCTCCAAGGTAGAGGCTGTGTTGAACTGGGGGCGTCCGAAGAATGTGTCAGAGATTCGTAGTTTCCTTGGGTTAGCGGGATATTATCGGCGATTTGTGGAAAATTTCTCGAGGATTGCATCGCCTTTGACAAGGTTGACGAGAAAGGATGTTAGGTTGGTTTGGGATGAAGAATGTGAGGAAGCGTTCATGGAGCTGAAACATCGACTCACT